TAATTATAATAATCACGGCCGCGTTTCCCTCCGTGAAGTCAGGCGTTCCATATCACTCTCTGATCAAACAAGCTGAGAGAAAAAGTATTCCTCCCTTCCCCTCCCTCCCCACACTTTTTTGTTGTTTTCTTTTTGTTTTTTCAAAACGAAAAGTCAAACACTCCCACCTTCTTACATAAAACTAGTGCTAAAACAACCACAACAAAAATAAATAAAATAAAAAAAAAAATGACCTTGTTAATTGTTTATTATTCATTTATTCTTTTTTATTTTCCTTCTTGACGTGCTCCCCCCAAATAAACAAAGCTGAAAAAAAAAAAACACAGGGAGAAAAAGTGAGAAGACCAAAAGTAAAAATTGTGTTAAAGAGGCTGAGAAGGCTGAGGAGGCTGAGCAACCTTACGTGCTGCCAGCCACCCTTTCACGTGCCATATCACTTTAAAAGTGTTATCGGCAGCCTGCATCCACTGCCAGACGGCAGCGATCAGCAGTGGAATGAGCGGCCAAAGCAACGTTGCACTTGCGCCATAAATACCTTTCATTTCATTTCCAAGGAGGTATCGTAAAAACTGTTCCATTTGAACTAGTCCAGCGACACATGCCAGTAGAAATGCATCAGCCGCAGACCATGAAGCCAGCATATACCACCGGGGGTACATGAAGGCATAAAGAATTGGAGCGATCAAAACGACAAAAATGCAGATACAAAGAAAAAATTTGTTTGTAAGACTGATTTCCCAAAGAGTCATCAAGCGGTCCTCTGGCATAATGATCGAAGCCATTCCATTCACGGTGTACCGAATACAAGGAACCACCCAGCACAGGATGACACATATAGTGACAAATGCGGTGTTGACCAATCGCAAAATCCCGTCCTTACCCCAGAACATGGCCCACCAATTATTTTGCTTGTCTTCCTCGCTCACATTGTTTTGTGCTTCAGCCCCATCGTACGTAATTGCTCCTTTCGGCGTTGCGTTTTTACGAAGTGAAGTGTGCCGACGCCAGATGGTAGTCGCATAGTTACCAATAAAAATGGAAAGTGTCGTTGCCGCGAGGAAAAAGTAAAAACCAGCATGAACCTCCACCGAGACGACGCTATGCAGCTGCAGTCCTGAGATCATAAGAATCATAGCACATGAATCGAGGAACGAGAATTTACCAAAGTATTCAATCAGCTTCAAGATCAACAGGTCAGGTTGTTGTAGGAATAATGTGCATATGACAATGACCACCAACTTGATGTATGGGTATACACCGCTAAAAAGAAAAACAAGAACTGCAAACACATACACACCTGCATGATACATATTTTTTGTAGACTCCATAAGTGAGAAACTCATCAATGGAAATTCTTCACCCAAAACCAAACTGGCCGCAGGAGTGGCGTTAGACCAAGTAAAGCCAAAAGCCGCGAGAACCGTCATAAACATCAAGGCAACATCTTCCAATAACACACGTTTCAATGAAATGGGGTCGCCTTCCCGTGTAGTTACCACATTTCGACGGTAACGCCATATACTCAGGGGAACAGTTGCCACAATAAGTATCACACCCACAACGACCATGCCCACCAAAAGTCCAACTGATGGTGTACCTTCAGAGTCGCTTTTCTTAATATCTGGAATAATGACACGGGAACCACTAACAACCCCATGGCGCAACATTTCCCCAATCTTTGTATTCAAAAATTGTAAAAGCAAACCCACGCTATCCATCAAAATGTGGTCATATTCAGCAAGGTTTTTCACGCGGAAATTTTGAATTTGGATACCGTTAGAAATTGGCACACTGCATTTCAGACCGTCCTTGTTACACCTCAAATCATTAACCACGAGTTCCACGGAGACGCTGAAGGTTTGCGGAATGTTTAGCCCAAAAAACTCTTTCTCAATAACAGGCATATGCTTAACAAGATTTGAAAGCTCAGGAATATCACGTAGAGGATACAAGTTCATCACTTCTACGAAATACTTCTCCAATGCAACTGAACTGTCAAGTTTTAGGTGAACGCCGCGAAGAAATGTCAACCCCAAGCGCAATGTCGTACTTGCATGAAGTGAGGCATCAACCTGCATGTCACTGAAAGGAGGAAGCTTGTTAGCAGCTCTCACGACGGCACGAACCAATGGCAGACTTTCCAGCGGTGTGGCCCCTTCAACCAGAGGCGGAGGCGGTGTAGGCGGGTCGATTGTTCGATTTTTCAGCCCATTCACAAAGTTAGGTAAAACTGTATTACAGATTGCCCCTGACAACTTCTCCTCAACCGTCTGTTTGAAAAATTCCAAAAGATCCGTTAATGGGCTCGGTGGCTGCGTCTCAAAGCTCGTGAGTGTGAAATTGGCAATGCATTTATTCAAGGTGGCACCGGTGCTGTAACATGTATCGTCCACAGACTTTCTAACTTCGATCTCCAGGGGTTGTATCTGCACACCAATCAATATACGGGCGTCCACCCCATCCAAGTCAAAACCGCATTTGACGGAATACAGATCTGGTGCCACCACGGAAAATGAATTTGAATTTGATGTGATACTTGTAGCAGCAACTCGAATCTCCGAACATGAAATGTTACTCACCGTCGTAGGCACACCAAATACATCCGTATCATAAGAAAACTTAGGTAGTGGCACGTTGATGATGAAGGAACTCCACAACAACAGGAGTGAAAGGCACCCTGCGGACATCTGAGAAGAAAACGAGTGGCAGCAGAGCCTTTCTCAGATTGTTCAGGGCAGAGATACGTGTATTCCTTCCAGGGAAAAAAAGCAACTTTCCTTCTTTTGGCTTTGGTCCTACGATTCAAAGGAGGAAAGTTACTTTGTATAAATAAATAAATATATGTGATTGAATGTATACCTGATCTTCAAGTTGTAGTCAACCTCCGGTTGGTTGGGCAACAAAAAAGAAAAGAAAAAAGAAAAAAAAAACACAGCGCCAACTCTGCGCATGGGTTTGACTAGTCAGTTATGAGAAGTGCACGCAACAAGCCAAAAAATAAAAATAAAAATGAGGAAACAAATTGAAAAGAGTCGGTGGGTCAGAAACCACTGTCATTATTACTCATACACACGCACACACTGACGATTCCCGCGCCGTGCCTACTTCTTTTTGTTGTGCAATGAACCGCAACCCCCCATAAAGCATCCACGTTTTCGTTTCAAGCACAACTCCCGGTGTAGTGAAGACACATCACTAGTTTTCTCTCAGATTGGAAGAAAAACCCCGCGGATGGAGGGCAGCCTTCAACACCCCGTGCCGCGTAGCGCAAACAAAAATAATATAACCCACGACACAAGAGGAACGTCGCTCAGTTAGTAAGAATAAGGGGAATCATAGTGCCTTACCACAAGCCTCCACCTCAACATCCCCAAGTGAAAGAACGAAATAATAAAAATAATAATAATGCGGTGGTTATTGGCGAAGCCACTCCGTAAATTGTGTAATGCCGCATGTAAAGACACACACACACACACAACCAAAAAAAAAACAACAACAACAACAACAACAACACATAGTTCAGCTTAGCATGATTCACACAAATTGGATTATCACGGATTCGCTTGGCGTCCCACTCACTTCCGATAACAACTGAAGCCGCGGATTTAGCAACACCCCATCTCTTCCACTTTGATTGTCAACCTGCAGCATAGGCGGTTTTCATTATCAAAACAACAAACAAACAAAAACGCCATGTCCACGGCCCCGTTCCTATTCAGGCCGCAAGACACATTCCCTTCCTGTCTCGTTCTAGAAAAGAATTCTGCAACAGGTGGAAAAGGCGAAATGCAACCTTCCCCAAGTTGATGGTTCATCGGCCACCATGTACCCCCCAATAATATTAATAATAATAACAGTTTGCGTCACCACGTCTCTTACGATGGAACCGCTGATCGATGCCTTAATGCAAAAAATAAAAGCCCTTAAAGGAGGAATATTGGTACTGTTAAACGTTTTGCTTGTCATTTGCGTCGTTGAAAGTTCCCCTGAAACACGCACTCATGCTGAGCAAACAAAGAGCTTCGCACTCACGCTTTGAGGGTCCACACACGCAGAGGCGCAGAGACAAATGGCTTGCCCCACGACGGTAATACCCCCTCCAAACACCCGCATCAGTCAACCTGGCCCTGTAGGCAGCACACTGAAGTATGAGAAGCAACAGTCACCGTGGGACCTGAGCATCCCCCCGCTTGTCCCCCATAAGGCTCACTGATTACGTTTCATCTGCAATACCTTCAACAAAAAAAAAAAAAGTAGGGGGGGGGGGGGGGACGAAGAAAGATAGAGAGAAGAAAGAAGATAATGTAAGACATCAAAAAAAGGGCCAAAACAACGTCCGTCATCGGTACCAATCTCCACTATTTGTGCTAGACCTTTTAAAAGTCAGCGATATGCATTTTTATTTTATTTTTGTTTCGTTTGTGCTTATCCTTACTAACAGCTGCCCCCTCTCTCCCTCTTCATCTCCATATCCCCCATGAAAGAATGAAGGTCAACAAAAGAGGAAAATGTAAGCATCCCCTCAAATGGTATGTGTTCTGTAATGCATTTAGCGCTTATCATGACCCAAAAGGGCGGCCTCGTGCTCCGGAATGTAATCAAAAACATCGGCACCACCTTCACCAAAGCACTCATCCAAGAAATGAAAGTCGTCATTAAATATCATGCTGAAATCATCCTCATCCTCATCCCCAGCATGGGGCGACGCAGGATGCCTGTTCGTCTCCCACCGAACCGAGGGCAGAAGTGACAACGCAGCGGGGCACACCGTCTTCGTCATCCTTTGCGTGAGGGGTGCATGAATCCTTCGCAGCATCTCTTCTTCTTGCTATCCATAGTTGTTTGCAACACACATCAAGACGGCAAACAACCAAAATAAAAGTCAGGACAGAAAGACAAATAAGGAGTTACGCCTATAGAAGAAGTGAGACACGGACCCCTACCCAACACTTCCAACAACAAGTTCAGATGTAAACACACAAAAAAGGTAATAATAACGCCTGTGTGTATTTGTGTCATCCAAAAAGGGTGTTTACAAGGCACGATCCACCTGTGCCCACCACCCTCTATACGAAACACCATTGGGTGTTAGCGTGTTAACGCAGTGCAAATAATGTCGCCCAACTGCTTCTACATCCCTGTCACTAAATTTAGTACAGGAGGGGCAAATGTAGCCTCTACACTTTTTATCAAACACGCCAACTAAGTAAGAATGTCTCTGCTGCTCCTTCACAAGAAAAGTATACGTGTCCAGCTTTTGATTATCCCACACCCCGTCGTAGTAGTATGAATCTTCAATCCTCCATTGTTTCTTCCGAGAGTTCTGAGGGCCACAAGATGTGCATTTCCGACGCCTGGCCAGAGAAAGTACACGAACAACTATGGCTCCTGCTGCAGCTAAAAGAATAACCGCGAGGACACAAGGAAAGAGGCCCTTCACACCATTTCTTGCACTGGACCCAACATGTAGGAATCGAAGACACAATAAAGAAGAAAAACAAAAACAAAATGAATGCGCAACAGAAACTTCCACCTCAGCACATTACGGCCAAATAAAATCTCCATAATAAATTTATGTGCCCCAACTTCCAGCGTCCAGCTTCCTTTGACTCCATTTTTTTTTTTTATAAAGTGATTGTTTTTTTTCTTTTCTTTTCGACGGAAAAAAAAAAAACCGTCAAACGTACCGCCCAACGCAACACACGCGAACACCAGGAGTGAAGTGGAAACAACAAAAAAAAGAAACACCACTCTTTTGTTGCTACTGCGTTTTTGTTCCCCACCCCCGTCAACGGAGCAGGTAATACAGAGAGTACACAGTGAAAACCACCAACACACCAATGAAAAGTGTATGTCGCCATCCATACCGACCCATTACCCCCTCAATTCGTTGTACCGATCTATTCACCCCGCTGCTTGCTCTAGAAAATGCACTGCCTACGGTCTCCAACAGCCTATTGTGAGATTCAGCTTCCTCCAGTAAAACGCCAGCTGAGGCCTTCATCCGCTTTACGGTGCTCCCCAAAGCACCCAAGATGGCCTCATTCTCTTGCATTATCTCCTCCTCAAACTGGGCCTGGTTCTCGCCATCGTCACCACGTTCCTTGGGCTGGGCGTTGTAAAGAGAAGACCGCATTTTCATCCGATGAACTATAGAAATATATCTGAAAGTGTTTTTGGAACAGTGAACGGAGGAAACACCACACACCCACTGATTCCAGCACAGTATGCCTACCTGCAGATATATATATATATAATATATATATTGGGATGTCCTCTCTGCGGTATCCCCCACCCACACTCACCACCACTCACACGCAAACGATGAATTACAGCAAGCGGTGAAGCAAAAAAGAAAAAAAGGCCAAACTTCCAAAACGACAGATGCAGCACCACCAACTCCCTTCCACACAAACACTGGAGGAGAAAGAGACAGACAAAAAAGATGCAACGCAAAAATTATGGGAAGCCTTGAAAGAACAAGAACAAAATATATATGTTTTTTTCCTATTCCGAGTACCAGTGACGGTTGGGCCTTCACGATTTCATCATTCGCCTGCAGCCAACGTTGCGACGCTTCATTCTTCGTTTTTTGTCATGTTCCATGCGAATATCGATCCGGTAGGGTCGCTTCACGTTATATCCCATGCCTCCCACAAACGTCCGCTTCAGAAATTGTGAGCACAATAGGCGGCACTGAGCTAGCATGGTGTATGCGT